CTTGGGTTTTTTAGTCTCTTTTAATCTGAATGCTTGTTCTCTTTTCTTCTTCTTTTGATTGTTGTCTAAATATTTTTATGTTTTTCGATCACAGAGCTAATGTGGCATTAAAGAAGGAGCTTCACACTCCTGTATCTGACCGCTCTTGCATTCATTTGGAATTTGACATATCTTGCACCGGACTCGTGTAAGTTTATGATCTCGTTATGTAGCTTAGTATCAGTCCTATTGTTGCTTGTGTACCTCCTCTAAATACTGCTTTTGCAGTTGAAGTCAACATCCTGTTGACTACTTTGGGAAAAAGAAGAATCGATGCTTCTTTTGTTGAAATCTTGTTCACTAAACCTTCTTTTATTCTCAGCTATGAAACTGGCGATCATGTTGGTGTATACTCGGAGAATTTGATTGAAACCGTGGAGGAGGCCGAAAGGTTGCTAAATCTGCCTCCAGATACTTACTTTTCCATTCACACTGATAAGGAGGACGGCACACCACTTGGTGGAAGCACCTTGACACCTCCCTTCCCTCCTTGTACTTTAAGAGAAGCATTGACTCGATACGCCGATCTCTTGAGTGCTCCAAAAAAGGCATGTTATATGCAGTCACGTTTGTCTGTTTTTTATCTTTTACCTTGTGAGTACCAAGTCAGTGATGACCAAATGCATGTTTTTTTTTTTTTTGCAGTCTGCTTTAACTGCATTGGCAGCTTATGCTTCTGATCCAAGTGAAGCGGATCAATTGCGGCATCTTGCATCCCCTGTTGGAAAGGTTGGGATATGTTTCGAGTCCTTAAATTGAGATAGAATTTGACCCTAAATAATTTTTCTTATGAAGCTTTATTACTGATTTCTTCAGGAGGAGTATGCACAGTGGGTAGTTGCAAGTCAGAGAAGCCTCCTAGAAATAATGACAGCATTTCCATCAGCCAAGCCTCCACTTGGCGTTTTCTTTGCTGCAGTTGCTCCACGCCTGCAGCCCAGATTTTATTCAATCTCGTCTTCCCCCAAGTGAGTTCCTCTTCCTCTGATTTTTTATAAAGATGTAAATTTTGAAGTTGAGCAGCAGATTGTTGCTGTATTCTCTATCAAACTGCACGTGCTAGAGTTCTTCTTTGCAGTCTTCGAATTTCATAATATATTCTTTCTCATTTCTCCGATAGCTTTCCTTCGTGTAAACAGTTTCCTTGTTTTTTCTTATGTAGGGTTGCACCATCCAGAATTCATGTAACTTGTGCATTGGTTTACGAGAAAACGCCTACAGGACGAATTCACAAGGGTGTCTGCTCAACATGGATGAAGGTCTTGATTTATTCTTTAATCTAAATTCGTATCTTGTTGGTTAAAATGCTAAAAAGAATTAATGCTTATGTTTTCCCATGCCATTTGTATTTTCTAAATTCATAGGGGTTTTGCTGCGTTATATGTCAATAATCATTTTCCACGTCTCTTTATCTTTCATCTTACGAAGTTGTGAATAGCTTATATCTTTTAACTTGAACATTCTCTCTTAGTTCATGGAACCTGCCTTTTGCCTTTTTTCAGAATGCTGTGTCTTCAGAGGAAAGCCTCGACTGCAGTTGGGCACCAATTTTCGTGAGGAACTCTAACTTCAAACTTCCTGCTGATTCTAAAGTACCAATAATAATGATCGGGCCTGGAACTGGCTTGGCTCCCTTTAGGGGTTTCTTGCAGGTTTGAAAGCATTTCACGTCACACCTTGCTCCTTCAAATTTTGCATACTGAATCTAGAATAATAAAATAAGCCTTTATTTATTTTTAGGAACGACTAGCTCTGAAGGAATCAGGATCAGAACTTGGTCCTGCCATATTATTTTTCGGATGCAGGAACCGTAAAATGGTTAGCTGATTTGTAAATTGTATTGATGTTTTTTTTAACCTGCACGTTAGATGAAAAATGTTTTTAGTTAATTTTGCTGCTATTTGAAGGACTTCATCTACGAGGATGAGTTGAACAACTTTGTGAAAGCTGGTATAATCTCTGAACTAGTTGTTGCTTTCTCGCGAGAGGGACCCTCTAAACAATATGTCCAACACAAGATGTCCGAGAAGGTATGCATCCATCTCCAGTTTGTTCTTGCAAAATTCTCGAATTACCATCATTGGAAAGACTGCGTTGAATTTTAACGTCTTTATGGATTTTTACTGTCATATTCCATATATCTTCAGATTTTTAAGAACATGCTTCTGGTATATAACAGGCTCTAGATATCTGGAACATGATTTCTGAGGGAGGATATTTATACGTATGTGGTGATGCAAAAGGCATGGCCAGGGACGTCCACCGAACTCTCCACACCATTGTGCAAGAGCAGGTATGTCTCAACTAAATCTGTGGCTACTTTTCCTGTCATCTTGTAGGTAGCTTTGCTTGGGAATTGGGATCTTTGTTGTGTAAGAAAGTGGGGTCGAGCAATTTTGGCTTGTTCTTTCCATGTCCGCATCTTTGTTGCATTTTGACAGACCATTTATTGTATATACCAACTTGGGGGTAGTCTCTTTCGAGATCTTATAGGAGAACTCTAGGACAGCTTCCAAAAAATTAAGAAATCGACAAGAAAGTTAATAAATTCAAAGAATGGCCTCGTTTTTGAAATATTATATTTGCTTTTCGAGCACGAGGAGATTGGTGTTGTGTACAATGTCACGAGGATTAAAGTAACGTGTGTGCTGATTCTTTTTGCAGGGATCTCTAGACAGCACCAAGGCTGAGGCCATGGTGAAGAATCTACAAATGAGTGGAAGGTATCTACGCGATGTATGGTGATGATTCCTCCCCGGGTTGAAAGAAGAAGGATTAAGGGTGCGTGGAGACGAATTAACTCAGCTTTTCTATTCGCTGAGGCAAACTCATTGCTGTACATAGGGAGGCTTGCTACCGTTTCTGCAGTTAATGGAGAAGGTTGAAGTGTGAGTGTTGTTATAAAAGGATTTGGTTCTTCCCTCTACTTTCTTAAAAGATCTTAGGGTTCATGTAATTATACATTCTATCTATTCTATGACACAACAAATTATTATTTATTAGTATGAATAATACCAGGTATAGTTACTGTCCCAATGAGCCAGAAAGATGTTAAGTCAGTTTGTCATTTTTGAATTATTCAATGAATAATGATATCCATAGTCAACGGCTACAATAATGATCATATGTGTTAACTTATTATTTGAGGTAACAGAATTATAGGAAATTAATGCATCAAATAACAAATTATCACGTAAGACGGTTATTGCAGTCGTTGATTATGAATAACATTATTCACATTTAGTACTCCCTCCATTCCATTACTCATATTTAATATTACATTCGTTCTATTTATATAGACTGATTTTGTTTTTACACCGATTAAGAAATAGCATTTAGGGTGTGTTTGATTACATTTATTTTCCATGGAAAATATTAATTTTCTACGGAAAATATTAATTTTCTACCCAAATTCTTACTTGGAGTGTTTGATTGCTATTTTTTTCCATGGAAAACATTTTCCAACTTTTGAAAGTATGCCTAATTTTCCTTGTTTTTAAGGAAAATATTTTCCTTGAGTAGAGGTGGTTTTTATTTTCCACAAAAGATGGAAAATATTTTATTTTCTAGGTAATATTTTCCATGCCAATCAAACACACTCTTAATGTTTTTAAAAAATAATTTTTGCCAAAAACTTTTCTAATTTATTCTTATTTATATTTTTACAATTTCAAGATTGAGTGAGGAAATTTGGTTATAATTAAACAAATTAAATATGAGTATAAAACATTCTCAATAAAGAAAGAACTATACAGTTGAAATGAGAGAATAAGAAAAGTGAACCTATATAAATGGGATGGAGTACATAAGTAGCATGAAATCTAACCTATGAAGTTATTTTTGTTTTCAAAAGTTTGAATGCTGGAATTGTTACAAATTAAAGGTTCACATATATACATTATATGTAGCATTAAATACACCATTGTGATGAATTTTATTTTCTAAAGTAGGGGTGGACAGATATCTTGAATACAATCAAGTAGTTTAATTTTGTTCTTCTTAAGTTTAAAATTGGATAATAGGTATTAAAATCGAGAATTAACAGGATTGGTTTGGTTATAGAATAAAATCCGAAAAGAGTCGAACAGGACAATTTATTATTATTATTATTATTATTATTATTATTTTTATGAAAATTGATCCAAGCAATGGATGATTAAATGGATGTTAGTAATAGTAATACCATAAAATTGTTTTATGGTAACAACATTATTTAAGTAAAAAATTCGTTAATTTATTTGGGAAAAGAACCAAAACAATATCAAAGTTCAAATCTCATAATATACCTGCAATCGAAATTGAAGAATGAAAATATGAAATTCTAATTCTTAACTTGGGATCGCGTGAAAAAGATTAATTGTAAAGTATTGTTTTGAAAAATATTTAATTAAAAAATATGAAAAAGTTGTGGAGGAAAAATGTGTCATTAAAAATGAGTGAAATTTTTGAATAAACTTTCAAATCAAAAATATGTATGACGATCTATTCAACACCCTCTACCACCACCACCACCACATCCCGCACCCAATCCTATCTACTTGTCCCAAAACATGACTCTTTTCATTTAGTTCTAATTTTTTTGTAAAATCAAACTTGAGAATAAAATTGGGTTTTTTAACAAAATGTTGACTCGTTAATCAAACTAATGGTAAGATTGTCCACAACGATTTAAGTGCAATCAAAATAAAAGACCGAGGATGTAAATACTACATTTTAATTGTTGAGGACCAAAGTGCAAATATTAACTTTGAGTGAATATCGACCCTCTTCCTACCTTTTATTACACATAAAAACCAATATTATATATATATATATATTTTTTTTTTAATTTTCGTAAAGGCGAGGATAAAATTGATTTTTCAAATGTTGACGTTTTGAGTAAAGCAAGCAATGGTAAAATCGTCCATCAGGGACCTAAGTGCTACCAAAATAAAAGATTGAGGACGTAAAAACAATCGAACGATGATTCAAGAAAAAAGATCACAGAAAATTGAAGCTGACAAAATTTGACATACAGGAAAAAATATAATTTATTCATGCTGCTGAATTTCAATAGTAACAAGGCTAGAATAAAGAAAAGGGAGCTGAAAGAGATTATGCTAACTGGATATCGAAATGTAATCCGAATTAAAACCTTCGGAATAGGATTGCGATGGTTAATCGATCGGTCTCATCCCCATCTAATGATTGCAGAACCCCACGTAAGCCCGGCTCCAAATCCCGCAGCTGCAATTGTATGGCCTGTCCGAACCTTCCCACTCCGTACAGCTTCGTCCAATGCCAATGGAATAGATGCTGCACTTGTGTTACCATAGTTCGCCAAGTTTGACAAGATGCGTTCTGATGGGACCTCTAATCGTGTCGCTACAGCATCGATAATCCTCTGGTTTGCCTACACGTAACCAAACCCGACTTTTTTTCTTAATCACGATTGATACATGCACATAAATACTATAAGTAGGCTAGAAGAGCTTCAGAGGAAACTGGCTCAAGATGGCTTGCTCTGTAAAATCTTCTACAAAACGCAAAAACAGAAGTAGAAGCTATCCAAAATTGGCTATTCTAGAACTTAATTATTTGCTTATGAGTACTTTTTAGCTTAGCCAGACAGGCTCTTAGCCATAATCACTGTCTCGAAATTTTTATATAAAAAGATTGCATTCCAACCACACTATAATGTCTCACGCATGAAATCTTATATGTTCTGTTTCGTACCTGATGAAGAAGCAACCAATCTATGTTGGACCCGGTGAGACCTGACTTCTCTAGAGCACATTCAATAGACTGTGGAACAACACGAACAGCAAAGCGGAAGACCTCTTTACCATTCATCTGGATGCAGGAGAAGGAGGAATTTTTGGGGGGAAATCCTACAGCAGAACCATTTGTACCCAGCACATGATCCGTTTCATTTTCCCTGATGGTGGCTTTTAAGTGCCTGCAAAAGGCCTTGTTGCTCAATATAGACAAGACAACAATACATGACCGGTAAATGATAGCCGATACAAACCTTTGCCCTTCACCGTCACTATGCAAGTCAAATGCAAATAAACCATCCTCCTCACTATCACAGGCCTGCATACCAATGGAAGAAATAAAATAGCTTTATGGCAAATCGACATTATCTCCATAATATCACTTTTTAAAAACAAGGAGACCTTATGAAACTTAAGGTAGTATGTCCAAAACATGGGTATTTTAGAAGTTTTATTATTTTCAGCTATTGGATGTTCAGTGTTATTCAAGTATATACACTGGCATACCGCCCTCGCAAAGCAAACAGATACATAGTTTAAGGTTATTTACACAGTCGAACTTTCGTTTACTCATACGTAGAAAGACAGACGGTGAAAACGACAAGTATAAAAAAAATTTAAAGATGCAGATCTCATGTGAGGTGTTGGTTATCACAAGAGATGAATGCACATGGTACATAATGGCATATGAAACAGAAAAACATTGCAAAAAGCTCCCAGATCCACAAGCCAAATAACTTCTGCAGCGTAGAAATGGAAGACGGGGACTCATTACAAATCCATTGTTTTTGGGTGATAGTTCACAACATCTCCAGTGTGCAACACATGGCTTGCACTCTATGTAATCATTTAGACCAAAGCTGTATGTAAAGAATACCCAGAATCCCATGGCCAGGTTTCACGGGGTGCCTTTCTTCTTGGCATAGAAAGGGACACCGTGCGGCAGTAGTCTGCTTCGCTAGACTACCTTCCGCCTTTTCTCGGACTTGTCGGGACGAAAGAAAATTTGATTGCAATTTTGTAGAAAGCTTACAATAGAGAATTTGAATACATTGAAAGTAAATTGAACATTGATTGATGAAAACTGAACATTACAATTGATGAAAGCAGAAAATTACAAATGCTGGTGTAGGGGACGGACACCAGTGAGTTTGAAAGATTTTTGAATGACTAATACCCCCTATAATAGCATTCTGAACAAAAACCTAAGTGATGGGAGTAGACGTTTAAAAGACGAGGAATCATATTAAACGTTTACCAATATCAGAGCTATTTTACAACCGAAATAACTATTACAATGAAATGAAAATTACAACTTAAACTTGAAGTAATATTTACAATGTGCGGTCGAAGTTGGACAAACTGCGGCTGCGATAGTGTCAAAGGAGCTAAGTAAAGCTGCGGTCCTTGACATTCTCCCCCATTTGTTTTGGCGACGTCCTCGGTGCCATCAATGCATGATATGCTTCAATTAATGATTTGAAGGCTCCGAGATCTTTTCCTCTTTCCCAAGTATTCTCCTCGCTGCTGCATCCCATCCATTTAACCAAGTATTCCTGATGATCTTTTCTAGAAGCTCGAGTGATTCGATGGTCAAGAATAGCTTCTGCAACCTTCTTTCCAGCTTTCTTCAGTTTAAATACAGGTCGCTTTGGCTCATTTCTAGATGCGTCCTCCTTATCCGCAAAGTATGGCTTCAACACACTAACATGAAAGACCTTGTGGATTTTACACCATGAAGAGAGTTCAACTCTGTATGCAACTCTTCCAATCCTCTTCACGATGGGTAATGGTCCGATGTATTTTGGCGATAATCTTGAGTCTTTCCCTCTTGTTAGTTTGTAAACATTTCTGTCGGGAAGCTTAACCATTACCAGATTTCCAACATTGAATTCAATGAAACGGCGCTTTAGGTCTGCAGCCTTTTTATACCGTTTTTGAGCTTTCTCAAGATAACTCCGAGCAATTTCAATATTTCGTTTCCACTCTTGAGAAAAGTTCTTTGTTTGAGGGGACTTGGTACTTCGTTCAATATCCACTGTACGAGGGAGTAGCGGTTGCTGGCCAGTAACAATCTCAAAATGACTCTTATTGGTAGAAGAGCTCTTTTGGGCATTGAAGCAAATTTGGGCCGCATCCAAAAGTTTTACCCAATTTTTCTGCGAAGTAGGGATAAAGCGCCGAAAATATTCTTCTAGCATAGAATTGAAGTGCTCCGTCCGTCCGTCAGATTGTGGGTGAAAACTAGAACTCATGCTCAAAGTTGAACCAAGAAGTTTGAACAACTCAGTCCAAAATATGCCAGTGAAACGAGGATCTCGATCACTGACGATGTCCTTAGGCAGCCCCCAGTATTTGACAATATGTTTGAAGAAGAGTTGAGCTGTCTCTTCCGCAGATACATACTTAGGCACTGCAATGAAAATTGCATATTTTGATAGACGGTCCACCACGACAATGATAGTGCCAAAATCCTCAACTTTTGGCAACCCAATAATGTAGTCCATCGATATACTTTCGAATGGCCGGGTTGGGAAGGAAAGGGGCTCCAGCAAGCTCACCTTTTTCTGATGATCCGCCTTATCTTGCTGACAAATAAGATAAGTTTTTACATATGTTGCAATGTCGTCCCGCATTTGAGGCCAGTAGTATGCACGTTGCAGTAGTGCACAAGTGCGTTCCTCTCCGGGATGCCCTGCCTAAATTGTGTCATGGCATTCCGTAATTAGTGATTTCCTCAGATCTCCGCCCTTAGGAACATATAGGCGGTCTCCCTTTGTCTTTACTAGTTCCCCATCGAGCCAGAACTGTTAAGTTTTACCTTGCTTGATAAGGTCGACCAAATATTGGGTAGTCGGGTCCTTGTCCATAAGTGCCCGAATTTGGTCTTTAGTGTTCGTGGAGACTGCGCTCTCTGAAAGAGCAGCTATAGAGCAGATGGCAGCTAAATCGGCCCGTCGACTAAGAGCATCAGCAACATGATTACTAGAGCCGGGACGATACTCTAACATAAAATTGAACTCTGAAAGGAATTCCTGCCAACGAGCCTGTTTGCTTGATAGTTTTGATTGGGACATGAAGTGACTAACTGCAGTGTTATCCGTCTTCACAATAAATGGAGACCCAAGCAGATAGTGACGCCATCCTCTGAGACAATGGACAACTGCTAACAATTCCTTTTCATGTGCCAAGTAACGACGTTCTGTCTGGTTTAACTTCCAGCTCTCATATGCTACCGGATGTCCTTCTTGCATGAGAACTCCACCAAGGGCAAAATCTGAAACATCTGTATGAACTTCGAATGGTTTAGCCATATCCGGTAAGGCTAAAATCGGGTTCGTCCACATGGACTTCTTCAACCTTTCAATAGCAGCTTGGCATTGGGATGACCAATCCCAATCCTTATCCTTCTTTGTCAATTCAGTAAGTGGCAGTGCAATTTCTGAGTAGCCTTTCACAAATTTTCGATAGTAATTGCATAACCCAAGAAATGAACGTACATCATGTACGGTTTTGGGTGGTTGCCAATCTTTGATGGCTGTAACCTTCTTCGAATCCATGCGGATTTTACCTTGTTCAATGATGTGACCCAAGAAACTGATAGATATCTGAGCAAATGAGCATTTAGACGGCTTAGCATAAAGTTCATTCTCTCGTAGCCGATTAAAAACTTGCCTCACATGCTGGACATGTTCCTCCAATATCTCGCTGTAGATTATTATGTCATCCAAGTACACCACGACAAAATCATTTAAGAACCCGTGAAGTACCTGATTCATCATAGTACAAAATGTTGCTGGAGCGTTTGTCAAACCAAAAGGCATCACTTTAAATTCAAAGGCTCCATATCTGGTTACCACCGTAGTTTTTGCTTCATCTCCCTCCTTGATCCGAACTTGCCAGTATCCGGACCTAAGATCAATTTTTGTGTAATACTTCGCCCGACTCAGTCGATCGAAGCAATCCGCAACCAGTGGGATAGGATAGCTATTCTTCACAGTGATCTTGTTCAAGGCTCGATAGTCGCAGCACATTCTAAGAGAACCATCAGCCTTTTTCTGAAACAATACAGGAGCTCCGTATGACGACTTCGCAGGCACAATTATTCCACTCTCCAGCATTTCCCCCAATTGCTTCCTAAGCTCTTCAAGCACGGGCTGAGACATACGGTATGATGCCCTGGCGGGAGGTTTGGCGCCTGGAATGAGTTCAATTTCATGATCAATCATCCTTCTTGGTGGTAATTTCTTTGGTAATTCTTCCGACATGATATCCTCAAATTCCCGAATAAGCCTTTTAACGGGTTTTGGAATAGGACCATTTGCTTCTTCGATCTCCTCTAATCGAAGAGTGCACAAAAAAAGGGTTCATTTCTCTTGAAACCCTTACTAAATTGCATGGCTGAGATACTCTTCTCGCCCATCCTCCCAACCTGTGTAGGGATGACATACGGCTTATTACCCATCATCATTAACGAATCGGAATATGGCAACACTGCTGTCTTAGTATCCCGAAGAAATTCCAATCCTAGAATAAGCTTGAAATCATCCATCTGAACTGCAGATAAATTTGTCCTTCCCTCGAAAGGACCTGCTTTGATCAACACCGATTTCGCCACTCCAGCTATTGGTTGAGCAGCGGAATTGATTGCTTTGACTTTTCCACTACCCTTTTCTAAAACAAGTCCGAGCCGCTCTACTTCGGTACATGCAAGGTAGTTGTGGGTAGCACCTGTATCCACCATAGCCCTGATTGGCTTCCCATCGATTTTTACATCAATGTATATTAAGCCTTTAGCCATACAAATTCGTGCCTTCGCTTCTCCCATCTTTGCCTCTTTCAATGGGACATCATCATTTTCAGCAACCCGATGCAACAGTGTGTTGCACCGATGTGAAAATGCCCCAACTACTTCCTCATCCTCTTCAGAGTCAGTCTCATTATGACAATTAGCCTGTGGGGCCTCTTGCTTTGAACTTGGCCCGCCACTTGCTAACTGACAATATGCATTCACCATCCGCTTTTGAGGACAATCCGACACCCGATGAGGTCCGTCACATAAAAAGCACTTCAATTTGGGAGTGGCATCAGTTCGGCCCTCTGTTGCTTTTCCTTTGTTCCAGTTGTTACTGTTGCTGCCGTTAAAATTTCCTTGACGGCTATTATGATAGTTTCCCTGAAAGCCACGGGTGTTTTGATAGGCTCCATCTCTATTCTGAGAGTAACGCTCTCCCCTATTTGGGTTCGAGCTGGGTCTGTAAGATCTGTTACCACCTCCAATTGCTTGATTACTCCTCGAAAGTCGATCTTTTCTAGATTCTGTTTGGTATTCGCTCAAGCATTCAGCGGCTCCCATGGCCGTGCTCAAATCAGTAACCTTCTGTCTTTGAAGTTCCGTGCGTGTCCACGGTTTCAACCCTTCCATAAAGGTGAAGAGCTTATCCTTTTCCGACATATCTCGAATATTCAGTATATGCCCTGAAAAAGATTTCACATACTCCCTGATAAAGCTCGTGTGTTTCAGGTCTTGAAGTGCCCGTCGAGCCTGATACTCGACATTTTCCGGGAAAAACTGCGATCTGATCGCTTCCTTGAGGAGATCTCAAGAATCAATTCGAATCCTGTGGGCCTGAATGTCAGCATATTTGGTTCGCCACCATAGTTTTGCATCTCCACCCAGATACATGGTAACCGTGTTTACGTTTTTAGTTTCGTCTTCGATCGAAGCTGCTAGAAAGTACCGTTCCATATCAAACAAGAAGTTTTCGACTTCTTTTGCATCACGTGTCCCTCCGTAGGTACACGGTTCAGGAATTCTGAGTCTAGGAGCATACTCGAGTACGGGAGCTTGCTCATTGCCCACCGCACGTTGGAGTACCCGCAATTGAGCTCTCAACGCTTCCATTTCATCCTGCAGATCAGGAATGATTGCAGCAGCTTCAGCCATTGCTGCAGAAGCTCTTTGGCTTTCATCCAATTGGATGTGTAATCCACGAATCTCAGATTCGGCCATCTTGACTTTTTCCTCGAGACCTTCCATAGCATAGCACAACCTAGTAGTTATCTCATCAAGCGCATCCACGCGCTGTTTTGTAGTACCCTTCTTTTGAGGCTCTACCACTTCAGTGGTGTGGGATGTAATTGGATCCATAGCTTTCTTATCGAGGGTCGTGAGCTGCAGCTTTGATACCAACTTTCACGGGGTGCCTTTCTTCTTGGCACGGAAAGGGACACCGTGCGACAGTAGTCTGCTCATCTAGACTACCTTCCGCCTTTTCTCGGTCGTGTCGGGACGAAAGAAAATTTGATTGCAATTTTGTAGAAAGCTTACAATAGAGAATTTGAATACATTGAAAATAAATTGAACATTGATTGATGAAAACTGAACATTACAATTGATGAAAGCAGAAAATTAGAAATGCTGGTGCAGGGGGCGGACACCAGTGAGCTTGAAAGATTTTTGAATGACTAATATCCCCTATAATAGCATTCTGAGCAAAAACCTAAGTGACGTGAGTAGACGTTTAAAAGACGAGGAATCATACTAAATGTTTACCAATATCAGAGCTATTTTACAACTGAAATAACTATTACAATGAAAAGAAAATTACAACTCAAACTTGAGGTAATATTTACAATGTGCGGCCGAAGTTGGGCAAATTGCGGCTGCGATAGTGTCAAGGGGCTAAGTAAAGCTACGGTCCTTGACACCAGGTCACGACATACCAGAGCTATGTTTACTTTTTGCCAAATCCCACTAGACAACTAGATCGTTTATTACACACTGTGGACAGGACATATCGAAGCAAGGAAAGCAGTTTATTTGCTAAATTTTCTTGACTGGTGAGCACAGGCAGCTTATTTAAGGTTCAGTTCATAGTCTATTTGAGATTTCTTGTACACAAGTAAAAATCGGTGTTATCGCCTGCATACACTATTGAACTATTTACCAGAATGACCATGCTCCAGAAGCACACAGGCAATGGCAACACCCTCAAATTTCAAGAAATTTCTTTTAAATATTCATACATTCCTTATTTTTCTGAAATTCACCCATTCATATTCCAATATTCATAAATTTGGACCCATAACAATCCACAGAGCAGTTGTGCATCTCAGCTGAACGCTAGGAAGGATGACTTGTGCATCTTTATGCATGCCTATATTCACAAGCGTGCTTGCCGAAAACGCAAATGCAAAAAGGATTTCAAATGCTCATTATATATATAACTTGAAAAAAATATGGAAATAAGAACACTTAGCAGAAAGTGACAGAGAATCAACTCCCAAAATGCATAAAAAAGAAGAACTGACTTCAAATCAATGAGTACAGTAGTACATCCCTTCCTCAATGGGAGACCAAGCAGAACAAATGGAACTAAAAAGATAGCACCCAGTACCTGAACCAACACTGCGCCAGCAGCATCACCAAAGAGAATGCAGGATCCTCTATCTGTCCAATCAACATGGCGAGAAAGAGCATCAGCCCCTATTACAAGAACATTTTTAAAGCCACCCCCTGCAATATATAGCAACAGGATTTGAGCCCTGATTACCGCTGTAATATGGGTGATAGTGAAAATTATACAGCTATTAGAACCTCCTTATCATGTAGCATTGAAATTTTACCTCTAATGTGGCAGGCAGCTGAGACTAATCCCAACACAAACCCACTGCAAGCAGCTGTGATATCATAAGCCAATGGATTATTTTTGCAGCCTAGTGCCTTTTGAATCTGGCACATTAAACAATTATCAGGAAGATAGAAGACTCCAGGGAAAAATCCAGAAGCAAATAAGTGAAATATCCTATACATTATATGAGTTCATTGAACAAAATGAGAAGCAAATTAAGCACTAAGAAGCATTCAAATACTTGACAACACAACAGAAAATGCAAAATATCGGTAAAAACCCAACTATGATGGTCATAGTTCAAAGATGCAAGTCTCTTGCTATGATGAACAATGTGTCACTAGATTTTTAACATGGAGACAGAGCCACAATATAATTGTGACAAAAGCGTACATTAGATTTTAATGCTATGAACTCTCCATTCTATGCAGTCAATGTTTCCCACTACAATCCCTACTAACAGAAGTGAAGTGATTCCTATCTTTCAGTGTATAAGACCCTGAAACCACCTTATCTATTACATTTAGGTCATTAAGGGCAAAGGAATTTATTTATTTATTTTTTACTTCAACAAGCTTCCTTATGTGCATGTCGCCTTATTCATTTAATGAATACTAAAAATATAATTTTCATAACTGGGTGGAAGTAAAACTTGAGAAATTTTGCCTGCTCCACTACGAAAACTAAAAAATCCGTGGTTTCCCAGTGGAACCCTATTTCGCCCAAGTTGTTTCGGAACTGGAAAAAAGAAGCACACTTCCCCATATTCAAATCTCACCTTCAGTTTTGGGGACCGAAGGCAATTCTCCTGTGCTAAATTGCTTCATCTAAAAGTTTACGCAAGAGAAGCAAATTATGCCCCAGTTTGGGCTTTATTTTAATTTTAATCCATTTTTCTCTTTCTTCTTTTCAACCACACATTCCTATAAACCCAAAATTTTTCCTTCTTTTTTAATCACACATTCTCCAAAAAATACTATTCCAAAATACATTTTTCCCTAAAAAAAAATTAATTTTAACAGGGGCTATTTATTGATATTTTAACTTCAATATAAATCCTTCTTTTTAGAAGTTCATTTTTGAATACTTAAGATTTCAAATCAAATTACATCAGAATATAATACAAATGTGCACCTGAGGAGCACTGCCAAATAAATCATCTGGAGTTGAAGTACACATCAACACGAGGTCCACATCATCAGGATCAACTTCTGCCATCTCGAGAGCTTTCTTTGCCGCCTCTGCAGCCAGAACAGTCAAACTTTCTCTCCCTGCAACTGAATGAGTTACAAGAAAGCAAAATGGTGTTCGAATACTTAGAATATCACTCTTATATACTCTCCATAATCCTAAACCCACTCCTACATATGATAATTACCCGTAAAGAAGGAAGGATAAGTTTCAGGAAGCTCTATTTTGCCAGAATGTTTTTGGTGCTAGTAGTTTAACTTGAATGGGGTTATGAAGCCTGATTCTCATTCAAAAACTCAGCATGAGCATAAGCAGAGCTCAGGCCACTCAACTTAGAAGTGGAAGAGGATCATAACATGTATATACTGGTCCTACTGTTTCATCAATCCAATAATCAGAATTACAACGTATGATTTCATTGGTTGAATTTCTAACCAAACTGATATCAATTATAAACAAACCGACCAAGTATTCATGGTTACGTTTCTAGTCTTTTGCTAGCTATAATTTTAAATAACTGCCAAATGGCAATTGACGAGGAAGGATAGTACCTCCAAAACTTTTGTTTTGACATATCAATGTACAATGTAGCTATACTAGAGTAGCTTTAGGCCTCTCGGAATTTATAAATAGATAGTTTCCTTAATAAAGTCCCTTATTGATAAGCTATTAGGTGATAATTTGACAAGGGTTAGAGCCCAAAAATACACAAACCTGCTAACATGAATGCATAAGTAAATTTTTACTTCACACGGCACTGATTTTCGAGTTCTAAGTAACCTAGAAGTTAGAACTACTCGTAGGACTTATGTTCAAGCTTTAAGTAACCTAGAACTACACAATAGAGATCAAATCAGCAACAAACTGCAAGGAAAAGCTTACCAGAAAGTACTCTTCTATTTCGTATTCCTGTCCGAATAGATATCCATTCATCATTAGTATCAACAATTTTTGCAAGATCATCATTAGAAATCTGAAGACATGGTACTGCAGAACCACATCCAACTAACTTGCAGCCTCTGCTGACAAGCCTGCACAAATTTTATATCAAAACTAGAGAGAGATGAAAGCATAAACCATCTAATGATATGAGACATCAGCCCCATGAGGACAACGACAACCAGCTTGCCTAATTTTCACTCTGCGACACAGGGAAGTTAGTTTTTGAAAGAGGCCAATTTGACAGAAAAACAACAAACTAATACAAAAAATGCAAAGCATTTTAAACAGAGAAAAAAATCACTAAAAAGGTCATTTAAACAAGTCATCAGTCAAGGATATCAAAAGAAGAACCTCTCAGGCTTTAGCAAGATGAAAGACTTTAATGATTGACATAAACTTCTGATAGCACAAATAATGCCTCCATTTGAGTTTCATTTTGTTTTCCTAAAATTCCTTTTTTAAAAGTCAAACATTAATTCTAATCACACATTTTGTAGGATCCACTTACCAACCACTCATTTCTTGAAAAATAAAATTTTTGCAAAACAAAATGAAACACAAATAGAGGCAACATTAATACGCTTGGGTAGTGACAAATGCTCAAATGTGCATACGGATATAATCATAGTATTTGTACATAATGCAAAGATATAATTATTACTTGTTATGTTTGAAAATGTATATCTTGTCTATACTGGTCCCCTTTTTTTAAAAAAAATTGAAATTTGCGGCATTGAATTTACTTGTGGACAAAATCAATTACAAAATAAGAAAATTTAAACCTGGTATATCACTTACAAAAACTTGCATTTTCTTAAATATGATTTCCTTGTTAATAAGATAAAATAGTGAGGAAAGTTGAAAATAAATAATCTTTAATGCATTCTAACAAAGGCAAAGAATTCGGCTTCAAAATAGAACCACCACATGGTAACAAAATTCACATCTTAAGTGACCTCATCCAATTCATGATTACACCAGCTACACACAAGATTTAGATGTAAAAGGATTGTATCGCTGACACCTGTGAATCCTTTTTTAATAAAATCTATACAGAACCGATAACCTTGGCTGGTAATTTCAATACAACCATAAGAATAAACAACAGTACCGAGCAACCTTATGACTGAAACATGAACTTACCATCTTTTACACCCCGAGCAAGTTGAGAAACTACTTTATCCACTCTAGTTTACTCTTGCATTACAAAACTAATAATTCCTAAGCCAATGCCAGCACATCTAGTGGCCTGTGTGATGAAGAGCAATTCTGAATAATGTTACGGATGACATTTTAGGCAAATGGATTGGGATTGACGAGCTCCAATCCAAATAATAAAATTTCCCCCAAAAGGACCTTCACTATACAGCTGAAAATGTCGATTATCCAAATAAACGCCCATTAAATTGTTCAGACACCAAGTGACATGCAAGAGTAATAACTCCCCCCTTCCCCCAAACTTCATTCACCTATTAGTACTCATTCTCAATGAGATTGACATAACTGCAAACATTTCAATTACAAAACCTTCGGTTTTACTACTCAGTCACAAAACCCCAATAATTTCTCTATTAAAAATAAGCTAGATCGAATCCTCATCCAAAAAACTCAAAATCTTAAATATTTTAAATCAACACCAATAAAACCTTTTGTCAATTACAAGATTAAGCTGATTAAAAATGGGCAAAGATTAAAACTACACGAAGAACTAGTTACCTGGGCACCCTAGATTCAGAAGGGGCGAGCTTATCTGCACCTTGGACAGTGCTGGAACACAGTACTCTCTTGGAGACACCCTCAGAAAACCAAAACCCAGATCGATAAATGCCTATAGATGGAGTAAATCTCCTCTTCATATTAGGCAGTGTTGGTGTATACAGACCAGATGCACTTGCCATTTCTTTTGGCAGATAAACGGGCGATAAAGGTGGGTTCTTTAAAACTTATTTATACAAAAACAGAATACCCATAAATTAATTCGATTTCCTTAAAAGAAATAAAAGCAGTTCAATTAAAACTGAAATATGAAAAAAAGAAAAGGAGACGGAAAGAACAATGGTATTTTTTTCACTATCTTTGGGGGCGGGGGGGGGGGGGGCCCGGTTCTCTCATCATGCACTTTACATCTGCATTCACAGTTGAATCTTTCTTATTAAAAGTCAAAATTTTTATGTCGGTCCCCATTGTACTGCCTCAATAGCATATTAGTCTTGGACTTTTAAAAATAAGACCACAAAAATTAAAATCATTGGTATATAGTTGGAGGAGAACTGAAATTAGGGTTTAATTCTTGATACCTAACAAATGCACGGAAGGATCATTAAGGCTCGTTGACACGAAAATATAAAATATAGATATAAAAAGCTAGTTATAGTAGTCTTGAACACTATAGATTGGATATAATTCATGCGAAGAACTCGTGAACAAAATAACGACTATTATTCGTGAACGCTTGAATTTTTTATTATAATTGCACAATCAATAAAAATAATCCAAACAATGTAAAATTGTCACATAGTGATTGTGAGAAAAGTCTCATTTCAAATGTTAAGCATCAAAATTGGGATAAAATATTAGCTTCATAAGATTGGACAGTCCGTTCATCGATTGGTAGGAAATTGTATGGTCATGTTATTGAAGGTCAGTTATGCAATTAAAATGAAATGTTGGGAACAATTTGATATTTTTGTATGTTGGAGAGAAATTTGATTAAGACAGTAGGTTAGGAACCACTAGTGCAATTTGATCTTCTCCTTCTTTTTACACCCTAGCTTTTGAAGTTGAAAAGTCACTTATGAAATCAACTCCAACATGTTCTCAACTTTAAAGAAAAATTAAGCAGTATCAACAGAGATAATGCCCAAGTAAATTACTTATTTCAATAATATCAAGATAAGCAGTTTCTTTTCTTACAAGAGATGCCAAGCTTAACATACTTTAATGTCAAATTAAATAACTCAAATTTTCTTTTTCAATTTAAGAGTGAAAAATTATTTTTTTAAAATCATCTTTTAATATAAGTAAATTTACTTAAAAAAAGTAATTCTTTTGAAAATATCCAGACGTGGTTCTATACCCCAATTTTCTTGTCGTGACAATTAAAGGTGTTCATGGGTTAGTTGAGCTACATTTTGGTATAGTGTTGGTGGGACTCTCCACCAAGTGGGTAACAGATGGTTGTGATTAAGTTAGCAACGTGTTAGAGCACATCTAAGAGATTATTTAAATATAAGATACTCTCAATTTTAAATAGATAATTTTTAAAATAATGCTTCAAAAGACTCTTTAAATTAATATTTTAATTTAGAGAGTGGGTTTGACTTTATAATTAAATGCATTCAAAGTAATTCAATTTTTAATGTAGAAAAATAATAAAATAATCTAAAAAAAAACTAATTAAAATAAAAGATGGAGAAAAATAATAAATTTTTTTTAGAGTAATAAAATTAATTGTTAAATATAAAGAGTTTGTTGGAGTATTTCAAAATTTTAACTCTCTAAATTCATATATATACTTTTCAAATAATAGAATATGTTCATTAAAAATAGACGTGTAGGTGTAAGTAAAGATGTTTCTTAGTTCTTACCTGATGCTACTAAAAAATAGTACCTGAAAGACCTCAAACTCGATGATTGAACTCCGAACTTTTATGAACACGAATGGCCTTCGAATATCTGCAACGAAAACAACGAGGTATGTGCTCATCGTCCCTCCGATGCTTAAGTCAGATAGGGATTTTAGTGTGTGAGGTTATAAACTGAAAATAATAAAAAACGTACCTCAGAAATGAGCCCAGGTTGTGTATTTATAGGTGTTAATAATAGAGTCCTAGAAGGACTTATCCTTTTGTGGTCCCTATCTTCGTAGGATAAGGAGTTAGTGTTTCATTCTAAGTGTTCAAACATTGTTTGAGTCGAAGAAGGAGTCAAATTGGGTAAGGATTGTAGGTTGGACAGGATTTGTGTTCTCATAGGTCGACATAAAGACCAGACATGACGACAATAACCCCGACCTTATATGCTCGACCTCACATTGGTGGATTTGGTTGAGGGTAAGTTAGGGCTATGTACTCGAGTTCGGGACTGATAGGTTCTAGGGTGATCACAGGCCCCCGTGCATCGAGGTCGTAGATTTCTCTCCAAGCTTGATCTATGAGCGAAGACGTAGAGTTATAAATGTCCAGGTGTCTTTCCATGTGTCGAGCGTTTGATGGGATGTCAGAGAGCGACCTAAGATGGCCGCCACGTGTAATGTCAGAGCACGACCTTAGATGCCCGCCACATGTCTTGGTCCAATGGTTGAGATTGCACGACCGTTGGTATTCCACAGTCCCCTATAAATACCTCAACTTTCACCCCCCATTTTTCACTTTTCACTCTCATCTCTACGTAAATCGAGCTCGAGTTCGGGGAAGAGGGTTGGTGAGCGATCGTCGGAAAAGATAAGAGTTCGAGCTTTTAAGTTGCTTATTTGATTATAATAGAATGTCGTGTAGTGGTAGCAATAGTAAGGGGTCGAGCACTAGCGACAGTAGCACCCTCTCTAGGTCAGGCTCAAATGTTAAGCA